ATTTTGGTTGGTTTTTTAAAAACAACTTTGCCCTTAGGTTTTACCTATATTCCTTGAATATATAATCTAAGACTATAAACCACAGTTTTACTAATTCTATTCTGTTCAAACTTAAAAGTTCCTTACTAAGATGTGGAAATGCTAATTCAAAATCTAATTGCCATGTTCTCCAATACATGACTTGTTAGTTCTTGAATAGCATTTTTTTTTCTGGTTGAAATTCCTGAAGAAAATAATTTGAAAACATACCTTAAACTTATTATGGTTAGAAAAATAACAAGGTTTAGAAGTTCACTGATTCTTACAATCTTTATGTATAATGGGAAAGTTTAATAGCACACTTAGAGGAATTGTACATCAGTTACTATGTAATAAGCCTACAAAAACTACTACAACAGAATTATATTCATCACAACTGTAACAGAATTCTACAGTTAAACTATCAGTGTTTGTGAAATAATGCAAATTCATATAGACAACTATTCATTTTACTGAAATTGGCAAATAAGTAAAAATCAATCTAATTTTATATATTACAGGGGAAACAATATCCTTAATGATTTCTATAAAAATCAAAAACATGCATACAATTATCTGACAAATGTCAGTAATCATTATATTTTCTATAACTGAAAATTTAAACAAAAGTCTAGTACTTACAGATATTGAGCCATTTTCCATTCCAACAAAAAGTCTTTTGGTTTCAGGATTATAATCCATACAAGTTGCACCAGCTGTAAGAATATTAGTACAATGATACCATACAATTTTAAAACTGATATGAAAAACATGTATCCAATTTTTATATGCACATTTTAAATCAGAAGTTATAACAGTTGTTTGTTTTCATTTATTGAGTTTTGGTGATACACACTTGTTTCAATACTTGGGGGGGGGGGGGGGTCTTTTGATACTATATATAAACAGCAATGGTTATTGAACACTAGTGCTTTAAATAACTAAAGTATTGCCTTTTTTATGATATCAAACTGTGGTTGATCATCTATTTTGGGATAATCAATTCAAGATCTTGTACTACAATGCCTGTACTAAAAATAACATGATTGCAGTCATCTGCATAACCCAGTTTACTTAAAGTGTAAATGGAGACAGTAATTCTTTCTCACGTAATACATTATATATATATATATATTTTACATTTTGATTGGTTTACAAGTTGGTTTCTCCTATTTTTCCATTCCCAATTGTACTATGTTTACTGAAGTGTACAGTTCCCATCCCCCATTTTTTATGATCATGCAGAACTACTTATAATAATTCATAACACAATTACATGTACATGCACACATCCTTATTTTTCTTAATTCAACAAAGTAATTTGCACAGTAGAAATGCCTGAACATGAATCACACAGTAAGTTAAAATACCCTGTTTCCCACCCATAATTAAAAAAAGAGAAGTATATTACTTTATGCAAAAAGAAAAAAAAACCTTAACACTTCAATACATATTTATTCAATTTATCAATTAAGCTGGAGTACATAAGTATCAGGTTTGAAAGGGCATAAGTGTTCATTTCTAGATAAATGGATAAATTAGTTTGACAAAATATCATAATAAGATTCTAAAACTACATGTCCATTATCATATTCCTTTTATGTATCTTTCACTCTTTCTTCAATTTTCTATGCATACACCACATAGACGGAGTCAAGAAGTACATGTATACAACTAACCATATCCTCTAAGACAACACTATGCTGTGATAGTTACATCATTCATACTGTAGAATGTACTTAATAAAAACATCATTTCAAAATGAAATGCTTTAGTGCTTTCATCATCCTAATAGACATAAATTTCCATTGAAGGCCTGGTTTATATATGAAGTGAGATTGTAATTCATAAGCTCTGTTTTGTGACCATACAGATACAAGTGTCGGTCATTTAAAGTATGGAAGTATTCTGTTGTTTATTTGTAGTTTGAAAAAAACGAAAAAAAAAACATATACGTGAGTTATTAGTATATGTAATATTAAAATTTGATTACAATAACTAATTATATCAGTTTTTTTATTCAAAATTCAGATATCAAATTTAAATCTAAAACCTTAAACCAAACTTACAAAATATAACATTACTCTGTTTATCCTGAACTAGCACCTATACATACCATCTCTGAACAGTAACATTATTCTAAATCCAATATATATAAGAAAATTAAGCAGGCAAAATTTTAAGCAATGTTGTGGAATATTTAGTGGTTGCTCAAGACTTTGAAATTTTGAATATGACTTAATTTAGCAATCGATGTGTTCGAAGGAAAACGAAGTTTGATTATAAACAAGATTATGACACTTATGGTAAACAACATTGTTTATTGACAAAAGGGGGACATGGATAAACGTTTTGGAATTCTATCAGATTCCATCTTCAGTATCTAAAGCCGAATAAATT